GTGCTGTGGCCATCCGTGCTATCCTACATCACACCATCCCTCCCCAAGCCCTGAGGCCGGTGCAGCCCTCCCCAAGCCCTGCTCAGTGCTTTTACCCTGCCCTTCTGCACCCACCCTGAGCCTGTGCACACCTGGGGAAGGCGCGGGGCAGGAATCACGGCCCCATTCAGGTGGGAAAGCTGAAAGGCAGAAACATGTTGCGGCTTTTCCATGGCCGCCTGGGGAGTAGCTGGCACACTGATATCAAGCGCTTCTGTGTGCGGAGACTTTAAACGGGCCTGCCTCATAGCAACCCGGTAACGTAAGTATCATTAGTCCCATTTTATAGACGGCACATTGAGGCTGGAAGAAGGTATGTGACTGCCCTGATAGCATGCGGCAAAGCTGGGGTGTGAACCAAATCTGTCTGGCTTCAAAGTCTGAGCTCTTTCCAAGACATGGATCTGGTCTTAGAAAAGAGTGACTGAGATTCGGAGCAGCGTCCAGATGGCCTCAAAGCCTCCCAGTCCCAGGATCTGGGTTATTTATTTCCCTACTGAAGTTTTTAGGACCGTGGATTCATAAAACCTGCGGAATGGGCCACACTTGCCGATGCTAACTCTGCTATCTGGCCATCGGTCTGGGATGATCTTGCTTCCAAGCTTTTATTGGGTCATTAAGTCAGGAAGCCCTTCCTTGTGAGCATCTCCATCATTTGCGTTTTCTCCCTGTCGGTTCTTATTTTCCTTTGTTCACACACTGAACAATCACTGGGCCCACCAAGTGTCGTGGGAGGCCTGGTGGGTGTAGGTGAGTATGGCCCGTCCCTGCCCTTGAGGGGCTCCCAGCTTATAACAAAGGCTGCTCCAGGGCCTTCTATGGGCAGAGCGCCAGGTCGGCCACAGAGGGAGGGAAGGACCGGCCCTCAGAGCATCTCCTTCTTGGCTTGGGAGGCACAGTCTCCACCCTTAGATAACACAAAGTTGTGAAAGGACGTGGGAGTGTGGGCCGGGGTGAGAGCAGCCAACCTTGAGTTTCCTGCTGTGCGGCTTGCAAGCAAATCCCGCCTGCGGTCTGTGTGGGAC